TCCTTGCCTACAGACAGCCCCCCAACCTGAAGCAAATACTCACCACCAACCACATACCACACAACAGAACCACTAACCCAGGAACCTACCCTTGCAACAAATCCCGTTGCCAACTGTGCCCACATATCTATTCAGGGGACACCATCACAGGGCCTAATAACATCAGCCACACTATCAGAGGCTCGTTCACCTGCACATCCACCAATGTGGTATATGCCATCATGTGCCAGCAATGCCCCTCTGCCATGTACATTGGTCAAACTGGACAGTCTCTACGTAAAAGAATAAATGGACACAAATCAGATGTCAAGAATTATAACATTCATAAACCAGTCAGAGAACACTTCAATCTCTCTGGTCACACGATTACAGACATGAAAGTTGCGATATTACAACAAAAAGCTTCAAAACCAGACTCCAGCGAGAGACTGTTGAATTGGAATTCATTTGCAAATTGGATACAATTAACTTAGGCTTGAATAGAGACTGGGAGTGGCTAAGTCATTATGCAAGGTAACCTATTTCCCCTTGTTTTTTCCTACCCCTCCCTCCCCCCAGACGTTCTTGTTAAACCCTGGATTTGTGCTGGAAATGGCCCACCTTGATTATCATACACATTGTAAGGAGAGTGATCACTTTAGATAAGCTATTACCAGCAGGAGAGTGGGGTGGGGGGAAAGAAAACCTTTTGTAGTGATAAACACCCATTTTTTCATGCTTTGTGTGTATAAAAAGATCTTCTGTACTTTCCACAGTATGCATCCGATGAAGTGAGCTGTAGCTCACGAAAGCTTCTGCTCAAATAAATGGGTTAGTCTCTAAGGTGCCACAAGTCCTCTTGTTCTTTACTCTAGTTTCAACCAGTTTGCCCGGTACCGAAGTCAGGCTCGCCGGCCTGTAACTGCCGGGGTCGCCTCTGGAGCCCGTTTTAAAAGGTGGCATGGCGTTAGCTCCCCTCCAGCCGTCTGGCCCCGAGGCGGATTTAAGCAATAGGTCACACGCCACGGCTGGCAGTTCTGCAGTTGCACATCTGAGTTTCTTCAGAGCTCTGGGCCGATACCATCTGGTCCTGGTGACTTATTGCTGTTCAGTGTATTGATTTGTTCCAAACCCTCCTCGACTGACGCCTCAGTCTGGGACCGTTCCTCAGGTTTGTCCCTAACAAGAATGGCTCAGGTGTGGGAGCCTCCCTCACAAAGTTGGCAGCGATGACTGATGCAGATAACGCATTTAGCTTCTTCACAAGGGCCTTGTCTTCCTTGAGTGCTCTGTTAGCCCTTCCATCATCCAGTGGCTCCGCTGATTGTTTGGCTGGCGTCCTGCGTCCCATGTACTTATAAAAAGGTCACACTAATTAATTTGCATTACACTGAGCCAATTACAGCTGCCTTCCTCTTTAATGGGGATGCAGAAACTGTAGAGACAAGAATCCCAGCATGCAATGTGGCCTGTTTGGGTCAAACGAGCCTGCTGCGTGAGACCTAGACCTAGGGACCTAGACCTCCTGCTGGTGTCAACACTATCCTGGTGTGGGCCAAGTGGAGCTGGACGGAGAGCTGCAGTCGTGCAGTCACCTCTCCCCATTAAAGGGCTCTGGCTCTTTCTGGGCCGCAATCAGAACCAACCAGAACCTGCCACCGAACCCCGGGCAGTTTTTTTGAGTTTGGAGAAATTTCCACTGAGGTTTTCCCATCACTTTTCCTGGTACTGGCTCTCCGTGCTCCTGGGACCTGGCTGGGAATGGCTGATGGGTGCCGTTCCCAGCCTGACACAGCAAACACTGGACGTCTCCCAAATCTCCTGGATTTCTGGTCTGGTTTGACTGGTTCAGGAGGCTCCTGGAAGTTCCCAGGAATTGGGGCCCTCAGCCAAGCCTCCAGACCCTGCCCATCGCATGGTGTCAGCAGGGCCGCGCCAATGGCCTTCCAAGAGCTGTCCCACTCCAGGAGTTCTGCCTACACAAAGAGGCAGAGTGGGTGCCCGGCTCCTCCGAGGACTGGGGATGCAGCCAGTTACAACATGTTTCCTGTTCTCTCTCCTCTTCCCTCCCCCTCCCTCTTTTCCTAATTAAACTGCAGGTGAACCTATCCGGCCGTGGCAACACGCCAGACACTAAATTCCTCCATGCAGATCGGAACTTGCCTCCATGCACCTTCCGAACGCGCCGCTCTGAGAACACGGCCGCTCTCCACTGCCAGTCCAGTCGCAGGGACAGCCCAGGGCTGCTTGCTTGTTTTCAGGGTGGTCAGGCCCAGATCCACAAAGACCCCTAGGCACCTTTCAGTGGAAAGGAGGAGCCTAAATACCTCCGTGGAGCCAGGCCCAAGTGGCTAGGGTGCTGCAGTGGGGCTCAGGAGACCACCGACCGTCACCTCTCTGTGCTGCCTTTCCCTGGTGTCTTGCTGTAGCGGGGTGGTAACCCGCTCCTGCCCTGAAGGGCTTGAAATCAGCCCTGGGAGCGGGCTGAGGCTGCTGGAAGGCTGGTGCTAGAGAAAGCAGCAAGCGTCGGCTGATTGGGGAAACAGCCACAGCTGCGGCCATGCCCCAATCAGGGCCCCGTTGGCCATTATAGGCGGGCAGTGGGCCAGTCTCTCTTGAGATGTTGAGAGGGAGGAGCCTGACTGCTGGGAGCTGAGCTGGATACCCAAAGTGGAGCAGGGCTGGGGAAAGGCCAGAGGAGCTGGGGCGCTCCAGCCTGAGAAACCCCTGGGCTGCAGGCCTTGATGAAGGCCTAAGAAAAGGGTACTGGGGTTGCAGAGGGCAGCCCAAGGGTAGGCAGAAGCAGCAGGTCCAGACCCCCCCTTGCCGATGATGAGTGGCAATTATAGGTTGCGGGGGCTAGATGGCAACTGACAGTAGCCAAAGACTGAGGTGAAATGGGGATTAGGGGGTTGGGGGTTCCCCGGGGAGGGGAGACCCAGAGACCGAGGGGACACTGCTGGGGCAGAACCCCCAGACAAAGCGGCACCTGGGTCCGGAAGAGACATGGGGGCAGCGGCAGCAACGAGACCGACCTGCAGAGAGCGCTCCGGAGCTGGAAAATGAGCTAATTCCCAGCCAGCCTGCAGGAGTGAGTCCCGCCCCGCCACACTTGCCTATTTGGATTTTAAGCTCTTTAGGGCGGGCACTATGGGACAAGGGATTTAGGTGCCCAGAGAGGCAGATAAATGGGATTTTGAAAAGTGCCTACAGGCATTTTTGAAATTTATGGGAATTAGGCACCAAACTTGCCTTGGCCCCTCTGAAGCCATGTGCCAGTCAACGTCTTTAGGCACCTAAATCCCCTGGGATCAAGTCCGCTGTGGCTCTGTAGCACACAGCACCCCGGGGCCCCCATCTCAGCTCATGTGCCACTCCGATGGCTGGTTTGCCTACAGTGTCTCCAGCATGGGGCAGAGAATGGCCATGCGCACCTGACTCCAGCCCATGGCTCCAGGCTACAAGAGACACGTTCCGGGACCCACCTCCCGCACCCTCCTCTACCCATAAAGAAATGGAGGGTGGCTGCTATACCTAGACACCCGCAACAACCGGTGGAGACGCAGGGAGTGTCACCTGGCACGAGACCGATGGACCAGGTCTGTCCCGCATAGGCCCCTGAGCAGGGCCACGCTCTGCAGGCAGAGCACCCTGTGCTGACGGAGAAGCTATCTGCATTCATCATTATGCTGTAGACCCAATACTGCCCCCGCCTGCCTGGCTCTGGCACCCCCAAGCCCCTGGCCTGCCTCACAAAACCCACCCTTTGCACGGGTCTTCCCCTGTCTGTATGAGGCCTGGTGAGACGTGCCTTCCCTGAAATGACCCCCACACCCATACGCGAGGAGGCCACTCCCAGACCTGCTGGCTGTGCCCTCGAAATGCCACTGGTAGGGCTGGCTGGGAACAGTTGGGCCGGGGCTTTTTGACTGGGAGGAAGCAGTCTGAAGAAGCCATCAGGCCCTGCTAGCGCCTCCCCTGTATCTCAACAGCCTCCTGGCAATGGCACGAGTCTTGGTGGGGCCGGCCAGCTGCTCCGTGCTGCCTGGCACCGCGGAGAGGGGTCTCTCCAAGCCCGGAACGCCCTGGTATGGCTGGGGTTTGAGGAGCGCGCAGGCCAGGGCCCAAAGCTGCCAAAGACACAGGGCCAAAGCTGCCAAGACCTGGCCACGGGGAGAGTCAGCGAGGGGCGGAGGCTGGGACGGGAGCTGGGGAGGAGAGTGCCTGGTGCGGGGGCTGGCTGAGGTTAGAAAAAGGGAGGTAGGGGAGCCTGACTGGAGGCCCTGGACATTTCGGAGAAGCATTTGCTAGCAGCTCACTCGCCTCGGGCTTTGACCCCGCACGCTCTGCAGAGCTCAGAGCCTTCGGATGGGAGACCTCCCCAGGAAAACCCACCCTGCATCCCTGCCAGGCCCCCAGAGGTGCAAAGGGCGCCATGCCCGTGGAGGTGCCAATTCCCCGGGGAGATGTAAAATCCCAGGCGCTGCCCACTGGGGGTCACTCGGGAGCCCAGGATGCCCTTGGTAAGAATCCAGGTGCAGCTGCACATTGCAGCCAGGGCCCGGCTCAGGGGGCAAGTATCAGGGCTTAGTCTGGATCCACAAAAACATGGAGCAGTCCGGTGGCACGTTAAAGACTAACCGGTTTATTTGGGCATAAGCTCTCGTGGGTGAAAAGCCCACTTCCTCAGATGCATGGAGAAGTGGGGTCTTTACCCAGGAGATCTTATGCCCAAATAAATCGGTTAGTCTTTAAGGTGCCTCCAGACTCCTCCTTGTTTTTTAGGCTCAGGTGGTTTATTCCCCTCTCTAAAACCCCAGTGTTTACAGAACCCAGCACTCAGCTGCACTTCCTGTCCTGAACTGTTGTGTGACGCTGCTGGAGGCAGCCGCGTCCCACCCCAGAGGGGGCTGCATTTCCAGGGCCCAGGCAGACTCACTGCAGAGGCGCTGGATGAGGGGTGCAATAGGAAGACCCCAAGCGGCGCCTGAAGCTCCGAGGACCGGACCGTTTCTGTTCACCTGGAGCTTGTGCCCAAGCTCCGCGTTTGATCCGAAGCAGGAAGAGGTTTGGGGCCCGGGGATTCGCTCGCAGCTGTTCTTTGCCGAGGCTCTTCTGCCGATCGACTTCCATTACTTCCCCCGCCTGGCTTTCGCCCCGGGCGGCTCGCTCGGGGCAGGGCGCGGGGGCGGCCGGATTCGGAGCGAGCGAGGCGCCGGAGCGGACTCCAAATAATTCAGAGTGCGGCTCACGCCCGGCTGAGTTGATGGCGCAGCGGCGGGAACACGATGAAAGATTCAAGGGCTCTGTCACTCCGGGTTAGGAACAGCGAGCCTGCGGGCGCCCGGAGCCGGAGCCGGAGCCGGAGCCTGGCCCCCGGGGGAGCCGCGCGCGTTAGCTGCACTGAGCCCGGTCAGCTGGGGCTTCGGGAGAGGCCATTAGCGGCCCCTGCTCTCACGGCCGGTTGGTTGGTTGGTTTGGGGAGGAGCTGCAAAGCGGAGCCGCGTTCTCCAGAGACCTGGAGCAGCTTGGAAACCCGCCAGCGAGCCCACCTGGCAGGGCCGGCGACCGTGTGCGCTGGCTCCTAGCTCCTAGCCAGTGGGCGCAAGAGATCCTCAGTCATGGGATACATCGACGTCTCTTTCCAAAGCCCCGGGCAGCCCTCCGAGCCGCGGGCGGGATTTGATGTTCGCTGGGAAGCTGAGAACCGCCCGTTTGGCCCCCCGCCCCAAAGCCGACAATAACATTTCCCCGCGTCCGTGCTACACATGGGCCGAGATCAAAGTCATCACAGATCCGCAGCTAGGAATTGTCCCCCTGGGCCAGAGGAGCAGCGGCCCATCTAGCCCAGGTCCTGCCTCCAGCACCGGCGGGGAGAGAAACTCTCTTGTCCTCCCCGTTCCCCTGGCTTGGCGGGGTCCCTCTGAAGCGCCCCCCAGCTCTGGCGGGCCTGAAGCACCCTGGCACCCGGCGCACCCTCTTCCACATCGGGGAGGAAGACGGTCAACGCCCCGCCTCAGTGCAGAGCCCCGCGGCCCTGGCTGGGAGCCTTCGGCCCCGTCCTAGCCCCGCTGTCTCCCGTCCCGCTTCGGATCCCAGGCACAACTCGACGGCTCAGCCCGGGCCGGCTTCGGTCCTGTCGTTCTGAAACTCTGCCCAACAGAGCAGCTAGACAGGCCGACTCGTCCGCCGGCGCCCGAGGAGGCTCCACACGGGACACGGGCAGCCAGTGTCTGGAAAGGCTCTGATTCGTCTCAGCTGTGACAGCCCCCTTCCTGCCGGGAAGCTGCACCTTGCGCCCTGGGCCCTTCCACCGAAGCTGGTCTTTGGTCGGAGGAAACAGCCCTTGCGGCTCTGTAGGGAGTGAGGCGCCAGCAGGTTTACACCGAAGGGGGTTGGGCCCTAAGGTTAGTTACAGACCTGGGATGACATTTTGCGTCTTCAGCGTTGCGTTGCGAATAAACCCGGATCTAATCCGGATTCCTCCCACCCGGGGTCAGTCTCCCCGTGGAGACAGCGACCCTACTGGCATGAGTGAGGACGGCTCCCGCCAGGGAGGCTTTCAAAGCTCCAGCTCTAAATTCATTAGCCAAGTATTTCCCCGTCTCCCGGCCTGCTCTGGCCGGCCTCGGGAGCCCCGGTGGGCCCTGGGGCTTGGCTATTTCCCACTAATGCCACCGTGTGCACAGGTAATTTTCTGGGTGGTTTGGAAATCGGAGTTTCTCTCGTGGGTGGGAATCCGGCTCCGCTAGTGTGTCTAGCGGCGGCTGGGAGCAGGGAGAGCTGAGCTCTGCCGTTACTTTTACCCTGAAACTCGCTCCTGGGGGCCCCTGCACCGCTGGGGAGGGACCTCTGACCCCCTGGGGCTACAGGGCTGGAAGCAGACACTGGGCTGGGCCGGCTCGGGCGATGCAGGGGACTCTGGCCCCAGCACTGGGCAGGCCTCGGAGCGAGCTGTCTGGCAAGGCGGGGGCATCTCCCGTGAGCGAGCTGCCACGGGCCCGATCCTGCAGGGTGCCCAGAACCCTGCCCTGAAATCAGCGAGAGGTGAGGGGGCCCAGCGCCACGGGTTCAGGGAGACGCCTAAGGCTGTGCAAGGACAGCTGTCCCGGAGGGGTCTGGGCCCCGATTTCCACCGCCGGGGCCCAGCTCCCACCACGGGTCTGGCGCCCCCCACGGAACAAGTGTCACTGCTCCCGCGGGAGGGGCGGCTGTGGTGGGGGTCGCGTCACAGAGGGGGGCGTCTCTCCTGGAGCTGGGGGACGATCCCAGAGCAGGGAGTCGGATGCCAGGGGGATCCCTGTGTTCCTCGGCAGCGGGACCCGCTGGAGCTTACTCCGGGCAGGCGGCTCGGGCCCTAGGTACAGCCTTGCAGGAACCGAGCCTGGAGGTGAGGAGTTGGGGTGGTTACCCCACTGCCCGGGCCAAACTCCCATGTGGAGGAACACATCCGGTCCCCCAGAATCCTCTCCTTTCCCCTGCACTTCCTAGTGATTAACAAGATTCCCGTTCACATCCTGTCCTGAGGCGCTGCCGCTGGCGGGCTGCCACGTCCCACCCCAGAGCTGGCTGCATTTCCCAGGCGCTTCCTGAGACAAACCCCGCGGCCCCGCTTTGCAGGAGAGACATCCCCGGGGGCCCGGGAGAGCTCCGCCGGCGCGAGGGGCGCAGAAACGGGGCTGGGGCTCAGAAAGGAGCCGGGGACGGTCTGGGGCAGGCGCTGGGCGTGCGCAGGAGACGGGAGGGGTGAGCGGAGAAGAAACAGGCCTCGGCTGTAGGGACACAAAAGGGCCCAGCCGCACCCTGGGGTTCCCACTGGCTCCCAGCCTGGGCAGGTCACTTCGAGGCCGCGGGTGCCTGGTCCAGGACCCGTCCCTGGGCCTGGCGGCAGGTGAGGGGGACCCGCCTTGTGCCCAAAGGCGGGGCGGGGGCTCCCCGGCCCTTACCTCGGCTGAAGATGATGCTCTCGTAGGGGATCTTGTTCTTGGTCTCCAGGCTGGAGCAGTTCCATCGCTGGTCCCGGAACTGGTGCTGACATTCGTGGATGGCGATCTGCATGCCCTGGATGGCGGAGGCCGTCACGTCGGGGTGGCGGACACACACCTCCAGCTGCCGGCGCGTCAGGCCGGGCAGCGTCAGGCAAACGGTGTTGGCGTTCAGCACCGGCTCCGACGGCAGCTTCAGGCCCAGGATTTCATTGGGGCAGGAGCTGGAAGGGAAGGGAGAGCCCGGCTCAGCGCCCTGCCCTGCCGCCTCGCCCACCCCTGGCGCCAGGGGTCTGCTGGGGGGAGGGGAAAGCCCCGCAGAGACCCAGTCACGGGGTCGCTTCCCAACCCCCCCCCCCGCCCCTGGGTGCAAAGTCCCCACACGGAGGGGGGCAGCCCGGGCGTCGGGTGGAGCCAGGCCCCAGAGAGACCGCCACCCAGGCCAGCGATTCTGAGGTGGATTTGGAGCGGGCTGGGGAGTCGGGGCAGGGGATGGGGGGCTGGCTCGGAAGCCAGGGAGGGGATGGGGGGATGGGTACGGAGCTGGCCAAGGCGGGGGGATGAGGATGGAGACAGGGGACTCTAGGGTGTCGGCAAAGGGCGGGGTGGGCTCCCCAATCAGCCGATTGGGGGGCATGGGTGTCAGGATCTTGCCCCAGGGCACCAATCCCCAGCCTCGGGATCCCCAGGATCAGAGGATTCTAACTTGAGCCACCCCGTTTTATTCCCGGATGAATCAATTAAGGACCAGCAAAAGAGGCGGTCAGGCGCAGAAACTGCCCCCACTGGAGCCCCCGCAACGAAGCCCCAGCAGGCGGAGAGTGTGCCGCTCCCCAGAGGAGCCCCCGGCTCCTGGGGCGTGTCTGTGACCCAGACCCGGGGGCGAGATGCCGGCGAGGTCAGGGTGCAAGCCCCAAACACCGGGCTGGGCTGCTCAAAGCTATTGCCTCCCCTGTGCTTTCCAGGGGGGCTGCTGCTCCAGACCCTGGGGGCGCCAAGGAAGACCAGGGGCCAAACCCTGCCCGAAAGCAGCCAGAAATCCCCAGCAGCAGCCTGCTTTCCACGGGCATCCCAGCTCTGCCTCGGGCCGGACAGGACTCGACAGGACTCTTCTCTACCGATCTTATCCCAGGCCCATCACTGCAGTGTCTGGGCACCTTCTAGTCATGCACCAAGTGAGGTGACCGACACCTGTCATGTGTGGAACAGGGCGGCGAAGAGAACCAGTATCAGAACCCAGACAGACAGACAGACAGAGGGGTGTTTGGGGACGAATGGATGGATGGCTTGGCGGGGGGGGGGGGTGTAGAGACAGATCGGAGGGTATGGGGTAGATTAGATAGGTAGAAGTGATGTATGAGGATGGATGGGTAGTTGGGATGGTGGGGGATGGATAAATGACTGATGGGTGTGTATGGGATAGGTAGAGGGGGTGTATGAGGATGGATGGTGGGAGGGTGTGTGGGGACGGATGATGGGGGTGTATGAGGATAGATAAATAGAGGGAGCCTATGAGGAAGGCTGGATGGCTGGAGGGGAGTGGGGCTGGATGGCGGGTGTGTATGGGACAGATCGAGGGGGTGTATAAGGATGGGTGGAAGGATGGGTCGTGTGGGGACGGATGATGGATTTGTATGGGGATAGATACAGGGATGGATGGTGGGAGGACATGTGGGGACGCATGGACAGCCAGCCAGCCCCAGAGACCCAGGCCCGGTTTGGGTGACCACCTAAGCTTTTGGCTCGTTAACCAAGCAGAGGGCCAGCCAGTGAGGGGGCTCACCCCCTCCAGGGCAGTTACCCCGGGTTTGCAGGGCTGTCACTGAGATCAGACTCCCTGAGCCCCGGCAGGCCCCGTGTCTCCTGTGGGATGGGCGTGGGCGGAGCACGCACGGCTCACACGTCAGCCATGTTGAAATTCTATTGCTGGTCTATCCAGGTTCGTGGCCCATGCCCCTCACCCTGGTATCTGGGCACCTGTGGTCACGTTGGGCGCTGTGTTCCCAGGCTGTGGCCAGTTCCCATTTCAGCCGCTCCTCGGCGTGGGGCTCCCAGGTCAGCACTTCCAGGCCCACCCCAGTGGGCCCGGGCCTGTCGCTGGCACCAGGGACCAGGCCGCCCTCCCCACCTCGTTTAATTTCAGGGTCCGAGAGGGGCATGATCAGAAAGTCCGGTAGGGACAGCACAGCCTCGCCCCTTCATTAAACAACACGGCTGCCATCTGTCCCGGGGGCTCTCTCTCTCTCTCGCCCTCCCCCGGACGGGGAGCTGTGCGTGCCGGGGTGTGCGTTGTGGTCGGGTTGGGTTTTCTAACACCTCCAGGGCTCTGTGTCGGCCAGAGATATGCCCCTGGCTGGGAGGTTTGGGATGGCCCTTCCTCCCTCAGTCAGGGTCCAGCCCTAAGGATGCTCTGTTCCCCCCGAAAGCGGAACGTCCCGTGGGGCCCGAGGAGCAGAGCTCTGCGCGGGTCTCCAGCCCGGACCCCTGGAGCACCTTGAAGACAAGGACCGAGCCCTGGGCTGTGGGGCGCCGGTGCGGGGAGTGGGGACAGGTGCCCATGTCGCAGCCCAGCCAGGTGTGCGAGCTGCAGGAAAGGTGAGACCGGAGCCCAGCCCGTTGGCTGCTGTCTTGCTCCCCACTGGCGATCCGGGGCAGAACTTCACGTTCCACCCCGCGGCGGCTTCTGTGCCCTAGACCCTCTTGCCAGGGATCTGAAAGTCAAGCTGGGCTCTGCCCGGCGACTCTCCGCTGGCTCTCTGGCACTCGCTGGGAAGTGTCGGGCCTGGCCCGGGCTTGCTTGTTCCTCTTCGGTCACGTTGGGCGCTGTGTTCCCAGGCTGTGGCCAGTTCCCATTTCAGCCGCTCCTCGGCGTGGGGCTCCCAGGTCGGCACTTCCAGGCCCACCCCAGTGGGCCCGGGCCTGTCGCTGGCACCAGGGACCAGGCCACCCTCCCCACCTCGTTTAATTTCAGGGTCCGAGAGGGGCATGATCAGAAAGTCTGGTAGGGACAGCACAGCCTCGCCCCTTCCTAGCTAGGGACCAGACCCCCAGCTCCTCATTTGGGCCCAGCTCCCAGGGTCTGTCCGAGTCAGGCCTGGCACCGGGCTCTCCGCTCCTCCCTTCGGAGGGTCCCTCTGAACCTGCCGCAGAGCTACCCGCTCTGCCGCTCCACTCGGGCCTTCTCTAGGATTCGCCAAAGGCAGAGAAGAGCCCCAGAGCTCCGGCGTCTTCCAAGGCCAAGCGCCCCGCCGAGCCCCCCGCAGCCGGGGGCGGCCGCCACCCAGGTGACTGGAGCGCTGTGGGGAGGCAGGACTCGCTTGGAGGGGCGCTGGGCGCTACCTGCTCTGGCTGTAACTCATCGGGGGGGCGGGGGCGGGGGGTGTCTCCCATCAGGACTGTCAGCCAGGCCAGGCTTGTTCCCCTGGATGCTGCTTTACACTCAGGGGCTAAAGCCACGCCCTTT